AGCTGTTGGCTACAGTTCTTGCAGTAGACCTGGATTTGGTGTCCAGCACCCACATGGTGGCTTACAGCCATCCATAACTGAGTTCCAGGGGATCCCATGCCCTCTTTCTTCTGACCTCTCTGGGCACCAGGTACACATGTGATGCTTATGTACACACACATACAAAACACTCAGACACAAACTGTTTCACTTCTAAGACGGAAAGATCAAAGTCACAGAAGAAAAGAGCCTTAAGACTTAGTGTCAGCTTCTCCGTCTCTTCCCCGGCTCCTGAGAAGCCTTGAGTGGAAACAACTTTTCTACTCTTGCCCTTTTCACCTTACTAGGCTTACTGTTTTTTGTTTTGTTTTGTTTTGTTTTATTTGTTTTGGTTTTTGAGACAGGGTTTCTCTATAACAACTCTGGCTGCCCTGGAACTCTTTGTAGACCAGGCTAGCCTCAAACTCAAGGAGCTCCACTGTCCTCTGCCTCCTCAATACTGCGATTAAAGGCTGTACCTGGCAACTTACTGTTCTTAACTGCCCTTTGAACATGGTTTTCATTCACCTTTGAAAAAAATGAGAGCTGAGAGAGAGGCTGAGTCAGGTAGCTAGTAAATGGGGGTTTCATGGTTAGAGCCTTCTGGGGTCAGTCCCTTCCCAGGGGTTATAACTGCTCCCCACATCTCTACATTCTGCAGCCTCCACCTCCCGATGCCATTTTACTCTTTTGAGACAGGGTCTTGCTGTGTACCTCTTGCTGGCCTCGAACTTGCATTCATTCCTCCTGCCTCTCTCTCTGCCTCCCAAGTGTTTGGGTTACAGGCATGCACCACCACACCCAGCTTCGGCAGTTCTACTTTAAAAAGAACTTCCAGCAGGGCCAGAAATGAGTGGTTTTGGCTACTAAACAGGAAACTCAAAGCCCTTTCCGTTTCTTTGAGCTGGCTGGAAGGGCTGGACCCGCAACTGGTTCTGTACTTTAAAGGACAGAAGAAAACTTTTGTATGGCTTGAAAACAAAATGAAACAAAACCTTTGGTGAAGGCCTGCACACCAGCCTTGGTTGACACACAACATGGAAAAGAACTGCCTTGTTGCCTGGCAGTAATGACAGCAAACAAATGTGTCTGACAGTCTGGCATCTCCTGGTCTCAATTCTGTTTGCCTCATTTTAATTGCTTCCTTAGCTCTCTCTGTTTCCCCACCTTCGGTACCACCCTCACCCAAGGGAACATCAGACTGTGCCAGGTTGTGCTGGGCCAGGCCGGGCCGGGCCCCACAGAATACAGTGACCCAGCCGTGCTATTCTTGTCTGTGTCTATTTGCAAGAAGCCTGTTGTTCTCACTGTCTGTTTTTCTCATCATAAATGTTGAGTTGGCAGGGTTACCCCGGGTGGTGGAAGCCACGATAGAAGAGCATCCAGATTTCTGCCTCTGGAAATGCAGCTGGCTGTGAGTGCCAGACTGAGGGAGCAGTGGCAGATTCTACTTCTTGGGGTGTACCTGAAAATACATTTCCACCAGGAGAGCCCTGCTTGGGTCCAGCACCCTTGGCAGGGCCTGGACTTGTGCCAGCATACTCTTACCAGACATGCCCAGAGGATCTGTCCTGGCATACTTGTGAGCCACCTTTGAGCCTAAGGAGATTATTTTCTTTGCCATGCATCTTACCCCGCAGCCCCTGCTCTCTAGGAATTTTAATCTGTGTCAGACTTGAAGTAGTTACTCACAGGCAATGCCCTGAAGCAGATGGGCATTCCCAGTACAGTGGCCTTTAGCAAAATGCTTGAGTTTACCATACATATTCATGGAGTCCATGAATGTACTGCTATAAAGGGTAAGTGTTGAGAACTTAATAATTTACATGGGACTTGGAGAGATGGCTCAGTGGTTAAGAGCACTGGCTGCTCCTCCAGAGGACCTGAGTTCACTTCCCACAACCGCATGGCAGTTCATGATCCAATGCCCTCTTCTGGTGTGCTGGCATGCAGACACCCGTTTACATAAGATACATAAGTAGAGCTTTTTAAAATACTTTATATGGAATCTGTGTTGCTTTTAATTTTATTTTATTGATGATTTTATTGTTTGACTGTTTCATACATTTAGATGATGACTACTGGTTTTGCCCTACTACCCTCACTGATTTTTCTGTTTGGTTATTTGCTTGAGACAGGGTCTTGCTTTGTAGCTCTGGCTGGCCTCAGATCACCCTAGAGACCTGTCTGCCAGGTTAAAGTATGTACCACCATGCCTGGCTTCTGATCATGCTTAAAACACAAAAGCATGGAAAGAGCCCAATAGGTGTTGTCTGATGCAATCCCAGGTCCTGAGAGCTGGAGGCAGGAGGAAGGAGTTTGTGGCAAGCCTGGGTTATATACTTGAAACTCTAGCTCAAAAGAGAGAAAAGGAATAAACTGATTGATGGTAAATCAGCATGGGTAGTTCTTAAAAGAACTGTGTGAGAGACTAGGGAGATGGCTCTGTGGTTAAAATCATTTGCTGCTCTTACAGAAGACCCGCGTTCAGTTCCCAGCACCCTCATCAAATGGCTCACAGCCATCTATAATTCTAGCTCCAGGAGGTCAGCACCCTCTCCTGGCCTCTTGGCACCAACTTACATACATACTCATAAATAAAATAGATCTTAAAATCTTTTAAAATTTATTCTGGGTAAAAGAAGCCAAGCCAACAATGGCATAAATGTGTGAGTGAAAGAGCATTGATTACCTGCAGAGCTGTAATTGAGAAAGGGATGCAGGGGAGATGCCCAAGGAATCTTGATATGACAGATACTCAATGATCTATGTCCTTTGTTTTTGTCTCACTATTGTCACCCTGGCTAGCATGGAACACTTATGTAGACCAGATAGCATTCTACTACCCTAAAGAAAACACACATCTGCCCATAATCAGACTATTTGACAGATAGATGCCAAGTGATGTTCTGAGATCACAGAGTAAATCTACATTTGATAACTGGTTATTTGAAGGGGGTATAACATACTTTATTTCTAGAATACATGAAGAAAGGAGCATGGTATGGTGGAGTAACAACAATGAGTTTTTATATAAAAATGTATTATAGTCTAATGTGGTAATGTACAACTTTAGTCCCAGGTAGAGGTGGGCCAGCCTGGTGTACATAGTGAGTTCCATATATCAGCGCCACCAGGCCTGGTTATGATCCTTAATTATGATTGTGGTGATGGCTTCACAGGCATACAGAACTCATGAATTAGTGCATCCCAATAGTACTTGAAAAAAAATACAGAGGCATTTAATAGTTAGCAATTAATAAATGCTGACTGAACTGGATGTAATGTAATGTAATGTAATGTAATGGCTTATAGCCATGATCCTATCAGCTCTGGAGGCTGAAGGAGGAGGATTACTGGGAGTTCAAGGCCAGTCTGGCTTACATAGTGAGACTCTTCAAAATAAAGTAAGCGGCATGTGCCGCATTCACATGCTATGTTCTGGGGGTTCAGAGAGACTTGAGATGCCAGTGTGCCTTCTGAAACTCACAGTATAGTTGAAGGAGTTTGATTTAAAAAAAAATTAAATCCAGATGCAAAGAAGAAAAGCACAGGGACTAAAGAGAGTCCAGTACATGGGTGTTGGTGCATCTTCCTAAGAAAAGCTAGGGATATTAACTATTGAGAGTGGCTGGGCTTGGACTAAAGGGCATAGTGGCAAAGTGGCTAGAGAAGAAGCCACCAAATAGGCAGCTTTTGTTCACTTGGGCAGCTTTGTCACCGGGACCTCCATGTTCAGTATTTGAGGCCATGATACCCCGAGAAGCTTATGTTCCCTTCATTGTTGGTTTGGGTCTGGGCAGCAGCTGAGGAATGTCTGCTTGCTCCTTGAACTGCACCTGGGCAGGAAGGCATCCAGCTACCCAGCTGTTGCAGTAGCAGCATCTCCACAAGAATGCTGACTTTCTCTGTGGCCAGTGGCACCCATATTTCTGACAAAATGGCTGTCTTAGGCACAGTGATCTGAGTTCGGTGTGGCACTCTTCTTGTCATCTGTCAACTAGATGCCCCAGATTCCTTCAGAGTTCCTTGTTTCCCTGTCTGTTTTTACACCTTTTTTTTTTTCTTCCAGAGCTGACTAGGAAGTTAAATTCGGATACATTGTCATACCACATTAAAAATGCAAGCAGCAATACAGAGCATGGCTGGCTCATGTCAGCCAGACAGCTCAGTGAAACGAGAGGAGGGAAACACGGGCAAGGCCTGTATAATGGAGTAGATGCCAGATTGCACGGCAAGCCCTGGCTCCTTTCTGTCCCATCCGTGCTCACTCTGCCACTTGACATCCAGAAGGCAGAGCTAGCTAGAGATTGAAATGAGACTTGTGCTGGGTAAGCATCTCTGAGACCTAGAGAGACCAAGCCACTTAGACACCAACAGTGGAGCCCTAGGATCCCCCTCAGGACCTGAACTGCTGTGGCAGGTAGAATTGACCAGAACCAGGCCAGTGAATGCAAGTTCTTGTCCTGGGATCTGAGTAAGAAGAGGAGAGACAAGTGTTGCTCCTGGTGTTCCATGCCTAGAGACTGTGATGGCCAGCAGCACAGATGGCTGACATCATGTGGAACCAGGAGAGGCAGTGTAGATTAATCCCCTCAGTGAATTCACTGTCAGGCAGTGTCAGGAATGGAGGGGTATTTAGTTACCTGGAGTCTGTTGTTAAATAAAGATCATGTTTCTCAATGTACCTCATGTTAGTGCTAGTATTCCAGGCTGCACCAACACACCAGCCTGGCTGCTTTCTTGTAACCTGTACCCCTGTCCATCATCTCACCTGAGCTGGTAAAAGTAGCCCATGTGTGTGCTGGCCTGATCTCTGTTGAACTGTTGGTTCTGCCTTCCCCCATGCCTCCTACCAGCTAGACTCCTTGCTGTCTGCATATTCCCTTCTGCATGGAAGGCTTGTTGTGATTTGGGGTCTGTTTCCCAAATGGGCACAGGACATGGATGTCTAACTATTGATTTGTTTTCTTGTATTTCAGTCGTTCCAGGGAAGTCAAGGACGAGCATACCTCTTTAACTCAGTGTGAGTGTCTCTGAATGTTGACATTCTTGAGGGACGGGGTACTCATCAGTGATTCTGCCTTAATATTAATAATAATCCAGGGGGCATTCCCTAGTCAGTGTCAGTTAACTTAGGGGAAGTTTTGTTGGCAGCCCCTCCAACTAAAAAGACTACTCACTACAGTGCTCCAGCACTGGATCTTCCCACAAGGAAGACCTTGGGGGGGGGGGGGGGCTTCTGCCAGACCTTCAGCACGGAGGTCAACCAGATCCGAGATTTGGCATTAGGGAAGAAAGCAGGGATGAAAAGAACCTACAGTGCAGGGGCAGGCTTAGGAAGAGCCTCAACCCTTTTGTAGAGATGTCCACACATTGTCAGCCATGGACATGTGATTCATAGCCAGTACTGGAATAGGAAGGTAGAGTTCACAGACTTGGTGGACTATGTAAGGAAACACAGCACAGCCTGAAAGGAGAGCTGTGAAGGAGAGTAGCATGTTTGATATTCAAGGCGTACTCATCCTTATGATAAGGACTAAAACAAATGGTTGTGTTTACCATCCTAGGTGTTGGGATGTTACAAAGTCCTGTTACACATGTGTGCAGTTACCAGAGAGTGGAGAAGAGATGACTGAGCAGGCGAAGGCAATGCTGCCAAGCCTCAACCTCACAGGCTGGGTCCCTGGGAATCCTCACTGTAGGAAAGGACCCACTCCTGAAGTTATCCTTGCCTGCACACATGCGCCATAGCACACATGTGTCACCCCAACAAGGAAATGGAATCTTTTTTGTTGTTGTTGTTACAAGATTAAAAATTGGTGTCAGAAAATTTAAATCCTAAGCAGACTGTCATCCAGGGCTATTTTGGTTAAACCTACAGAATTTAATCTTGCAGATCTAGAATTTATTCCCACTGAGATTTCCATGTGGCTACCTTTGAGGGGATGTTTTTCATTTCCCTTTTAGACCAGTTTCTTCTCAACGCTGGCTTCCCTGGGAAGCAGCCTTGTTCAGTTTTTGCCAGAAGCTCAACTTGAATGACTAATGGTTGACTAACCACCCGCTCTCTTTCTGTGTTTGGCGCAGAGTTAATGTGGGCTGTGGGCCTGCAGAAGAGCGGGTGCTGCTAACAGGACTCCATGCAGTTGCAGACATTTACTGTGAAAACTGCAAAACCACTTTGGGCTGGAAATACGTAAGTATGAAAGAGCCTGGGTGGGAGGGGCTAGGAGAGATAGCATAGGGCCTCCTGTCTGAGGGATGCTTTCTTACAAAAGCTTCCTTCAGCCCTGTGGGCTCTCCTTACCTTTGACCATGACAAATAACTGAAGCCTCCATCTGTCCCGGAAATACTCCTGTGGGTGCACATGTAAACTTCTATAGCAGGGACTTTGTAGCATAGCTCCTGGCTTATTGTGTGGTAGGGACATGTTATGGAATAGCGCTGGGAAATGGCTCAGTCAGCAAAGTGCTTGCCACGAGCATGAAGACTTGAGTTCCGACCCCCAGCACCCACAGAAAAGGCTGGGTGCGGTAACACATTTGTAATCCCAGGGCTCAGTAGGAATAAACCAGGAGAATACTTGGGACTTGCTGGCCAGCCAATGTAGCCAATTGGTGAGCTCCAGGTTCAATGGGAGATTCTGTCTCAAAAAAAAAAAAAAAAAAAAAAAAAAACACTGAGGAAGACACCTGACACCTGACATTAATATGTGGCTAACACACATCCTTCCTCCCTCCCCTCTCCTGCATCCTCTCCCTCCTTCTCCCCACATACACAAATACATATACACATAAACAGGTATATACATATACAGAAAAAATAATAAACACACTGCTACCTAAACTTGGTACTACACACTTATATTCCCCGCACTCAAGAGCTTGAAGCAAGTAGACTGTTGTGTTGGAGACCCCGGGTGGACCACTTGAGACCCTGTCTCAAACTGAAAGAAGTAAAGAGCCTGTCAACCACCAAACAAAGTACATGGGTGACTGGGTTGGGTCTCTATAGGCCATGGTCCCACAGCCCCAGCTAGTTTTTAAAAATCAATCTCAGCATCCGGATGAGGTTCAAACTGGGCTGTGTCTCTTGGTTGGCTTTATGTTCCTCATTCTCAGCTTTTTGAGTGCTAACAAATAATAGTGCTGCTTGGGCATGGTGGTGCAAGCCTGTAATGTTAGTATTTGGGAGGTGATGGCAGAAAGATCTTGGCTAGCCAGCCTTGCTGTGAAACTAATGAAAGCTCTAAGAAATATTCAAGTTTATTGTGGGGAAATAAATTATGAGCAATGGTGGTGTTAGGTCTTGCTAAGGCCCAGATTGGCCTGCAACTTGGGTCCTTTCTCTTCAGCCTGCCACGAGCTAGAATTACAACTACAGACTACCATGCATGCGGTCACAGTTCTGGTGCCGATATCTAGGGACATTATTATTCTTATCTTCCTGTTTTGTGACTGTTTGGGTGCCTTATTCATTGATGTTGGATTAGAGGCAAGAGATAAACCCCAAGTTAGCTGGTTTCACTTGTTACTTCAAGTTCACATTCAATGAGATCAGAAGTGTGCACAACCTCACCAAACCTGGCTTTGTCTCTTCCGGTCTTCACATGAAGGAACTCTAGTCCTCCCTGTCTTCCACATGAAGCAACCCTAGTCCTCCCTGTGTTCACATGAAGACAACTCCATGTCCTCAACTCAGCTCCCAAGTTGGCTTTAAAATACAACAGCTGCACTTCATGTATTCACCAAAGGCCTGTCAGGCTTTTAGTCTTCTCGGAGATATGACAATACACAAAATATGAACATCTGCTTTCCTTAACGTTTCTATTGCATTACAGGCGACAGAAATGAAAGGAGCTGGAAAGACAGGGTGACATAGCAAGACAGGTGAAATTAGGATTTCAGGTTGAGTAGTTGAGAACTAACTTAAGCAAGATGGTGGCATTTGAGCAGAGGTTTAAAACAAAGATTGAGAAGAAATTGTCATGATGTTGAGGAAGCCTGGATGTTCCGGCTAAATTCAGTACTCAGAATGCCTGTGCTAGCATCCTCAGTAAACCTGACCTTTGCTGCCCCAGTGGCCCTCAGCAGCGTCCCTGTTTCTGTGCCTCAGCAGTCACCGGTTTGCCTTTCTCTTCCTGTTTTATAGGAACATGCTTTTGAAAGCAGTCAGAAATATAAAGAAGGCAAATACATCATTGAACTAGCGCACATGATCAAAGACAATGGCTGGGACTGACATGACAGCATCCATCCGTTCCAGCATCCACACGAATGCCATCCAACTGAACATTCTACCCAAGCGTGAGAGAGTGATGAACACTTGGTTCCATCCATTTAGGGGCCTTGCCATCAGGGGGCATCCTCCCACCCTGACGCCATCTTTCTGGGGTGACTGGCCTCTAAATTGCTGTCTCTCTGTCTCTTTGCTTTGTATCTGTTTGTGAGTTGATCTTGGCTTCTCTGTTCTAGTGTTGGCTGAAAACAAAATAACGAACAGAACAGATCCTTGGCCTCATGGTGGCAGTCCACCTTGAAAAGAGAGCTGCCTGATGGCCTCTTGTCACAACAGTGGCACATGGACGTGAGGAAGAGCAAAGATGAACCTGAGAGTCCTGGGGTTGGGGAAAGGGGCAGGAGGGTAGAGGTAGAACAAAACTGTACTGCTCTTGGGGACCTAGCTTGAAATAATCGACTCTTTCAAAAGGACAAAGACAAAAAAATACCTCATGGCTGTGTTCTCTCTGACAACCTTCTGTCCTAACATCACATGTGCCAGGATAGCAGATTAGCAAGAAATGGCCTGAAGCAGCTGACAGGGCACACCCTGGCCTTCTGGGCCTGAGCTGGAGAGTGTCCTGCTAGGGTGGTGGTGGGGATTAGGTAAAGCCCACATGGGTTTTAGTGACTGACGCCCCCCTCCCCTGCCCCAACCCTGCCTCTGGGCAATCACCTTCTTGCTCTTCTTTGCTGTTGTCGGTAAAGGGAGGGATGCAAGATGTAAATGTCCCATTTAGCCATCAACACACTGAAATCGGTAATGGAAGAAAGCCAGGGAGCGTGGGTTGCAGCCTGGGAGCTCCTGATAGCGAGCAGGAAAATGAAAATTGGGAACTAGTCAGCAATTCTATGGGAGTAATGTAGCAGAGGAGAGGTTCTGGGAGTCAATATGGGCTCCACATCTTTCCTCTTTGTTGTGCAGTAGCTTCCATGGGATTAGCAAATTTCTGTGCATAGTGTTTCTGGGTTTTTTGTTTTTGTTTTTGTTTTTCCTCCAATTCCATCATAACTTTGGAAACAAAGACCCCAAATTCCCTCATGCCTCCATTGTTCTTAGACCTGATTGTCTTTTATGTGGAGAGTAATCTTTTGACAGTGTGGTCCAACAGTGGGGAAGAATCATAAATTCAATATTGCCCCCTCACCTGTCACCTGACTCAAGGTTCCTTGCATTGGGGATGGGGAGAACAATCCATCCAAGTCTCATTGCATTGAATCAACACTGAATGTTTTACAGCAGTTCAGCTATTACATGGCTCATGGCCAAAATGCGTTTGAATTCATTTCATTTCTTAGGCAGAAAATAATGTTAAAATACACTCGTACTAGGTAATTGTTAGCATGATTCTCTAACTAGGCTGGTCCTACAGGAAAATTCACCTCCTTAAAACAACCTAATAGAAGAGAGTTCACGGGGATAAGAATTGATTAACCCACATTAAAGCAGCTGACCCAGGATATTTTCCAAATCTCATCTTCAGCAGAACTAAATTCCCAGTGGGAGAGCTGCGGTGGACATGGCTTTGCCTGCCTTGTCCTGATCTGGGAATGGAAGAACTGAGACTTGGCCCTGCCCTGCTAGCGATGACGGCAGTGTGGTGGAAAGCAGGCCAGCTCTGGTTAGCAGCAGACTGCTCCTCTTCTGGGACACAAAAGGATTCCTAGAAACAGGATTTGTTCCTCAAGTCTCCTTGTCCAGAGCCTTGGAATACTAGCTCAACCTCGCACCCCACCCCCTGGGGCTGCGGAGCTGACTGAGCCTCAGAAGGACAGAGTTTTGCTTCCTGAGAAAGCACCCTGTGGCTCCCAGGCTCAAGTCAGTGACACACATTTTTCCACTTTCACATTCCTAAGCTGGTTTGCCGGCTCCCAAGTCATGCATTGTGTGCCCACCCCCCCAATCCTGCCTGAGGGAAGTGGCCTTCATTTACGGATTTGATTATACACACCCTTTGCTCAGGGAATATCCCAGCTATATATACTACAGGTCCCTTTTCTTTTTTAAATAGAGGGTGGGGGCTAAACCTAGGTATGTTTTTTGTTTTTGTTTTTTTCTTTAAAACTAAAATTAGTGGCATGTAGAACCTGGATATGTGATGCCCTGCCATTCTCAAGGGTCAGAGAAGGAGACCAGTGTGCCACTGTTTTTCCTCGGGGTGGGGTCCTTGATCATCTTGGATCAGAGCAAGCTCCAGCAGGACCCTGGTTCTGGCTTTTTCTTGAACTGTTAATCTGTTAAGCATCCAGTGGGTGTCCAGCACCATGCTTGGTGCAGACGTGGCTTGTCCGGCTTTTCTGTAATTAGTTTGGGGGTGGGACCAAAACTCATTAGGCTTGGATCTGTGACAGTGACACCAAAAGTGCTTCTTATGACCTCAGCTCCATTCGTGGCTCGTTTGTCTGCCTAACACTTAGCGGTATTAGAGGGTCCACAGCTGAGCAATGGAGACACACGCACTCAAGGCCTCGGTCAGTTTCTTTATTTTCCTCACCAAATTATCGACTCAGCATAACCAAAGACCTCATCCTTTCACCCCACATAGGTTCAGGGAATTGGAGTTGATTTGGTGGACTTGGGCAGGGGTGGGTGAGTAGGGAAGAGCGAAAGGGAGGGGCCTGAAGTTCTGTACCTCAGCCACCAGCTGCCTTTGTTTTGAACTGAAGACTAAGCTGACCAACTCCCCTGTGCCACTGTAGGTAATAGGACCGTGGGCACCCTGGAGTAATACACCCCTCCCCTTTCCTATATATCCCTAGGCTGCTAATGGGTAAATCAGCATGAGTCAAGTGTAGCCAAGCTTGATGCCCACAAGCTCTCAGCTGGGCCTGGCTGAGTACCGCCCCAGCACGTATGACAGTCAGGTCATGTAGATAAAGTAAATCTTTGCTGGTAGATCAATGTGTACAAAAGCAGAGTCCACTTTATAATGTTTCCAAGTATGTATACAGTCTCTTGTGAAATATACTTTTTGTAAATAATATTTAATTTTTTAAAATAATATATTTGGTGCTGTATTCTCAGACCCCTGAGAGCACTTTTTATTTTCAATTCTATGGCTTCCTCTGTGTTTCTTGAAATGTATTTTAAGGGAAAGAGTCATCACCAAGATTTTTTTTTTTAAAGATCTGTCACTTTAAAATGGATTGAGGCTTTAAGGCTTTTTTTTTTTTTTTTTTTTTTTTTTTTTTTATTTTTTTTTTTTTTCTTTTTTTTGCATTTTGCCCCAGTTGAACAGACTGTAGTAAACTATCAGGTTGTGAACTGATACTTTCTTGCCCAGTCTTGGCAAGTTTTAGAAGTAACAACTTAGTAATTACTGTAGTTGGGAGAACTTCTAAGAAATTGGAATCGTGTGTGCGTGCGCATGTGTGTCTGTCTGTCTTTTTATGTCTGTGTCTGTCTGTGTGGGTGTGTGCGTTAGTTTGTGTTCATTCGTTCTGGATTCTTCTGTTTCCTTTTCTACTGAGGATACTATATGAGCTACAGTTTACACCCTGGGCACATAGTTTTCCCTCTCTGGTTTCCATGTCTGAGTGGACCAAAAGCACAGAGAAGGATTTTCTTTCCCTGAGGTGGAGCTGTGTGACCAGTTTTCCTTCCTCCAAGTGCTTACTTAGCTTTTAGAGCTGGAAAAGCAAACCTCTGAATCTGAAGATGAACCTGGAGTCAAGTCCACACTTCTGAGATGTGAGCAGATCAGTCACACATCCAGGAGCTCTGGTTGTTCTAGAAGCCATGTCATACTAAATGTTAACTGGTTCAGGTTAAAAGGACATTGATAACACAATAGCTTTTCCCTCCCTCCCTCCCTCCCTTCCTTCCTTTCTTCTTTTCTTTTTTAAGGTCAGATTGCTTCGGGTTCAGGCAGAAGCTGGCAAATCAAATTTTGAACACAACTTTTGTATTTCAAAAAAAAAAAAAAAATCTGCCTCAATGGAAAATACATTCTAGTTCTGTGAGAAGAAAAACTTGATTTTAAAAAATCGTGATTGATTTTGAAAAGGACTGTGCAGTCATGAAATGTTCCAGAATAAAAGATAAAGCCAAGAAAGACATTGTCTCTACGGGGTTAGTTCTGCCCAGTGTTTTACAGTGTTTTGGTGAAGGTGGGAGTCAGTTCCCTTTTCCCAGCCTGCAGAGACTTGTGTACCACAGGTCGGTCTGTCTGTCTGTGTTTACAAATTGTACTGTTGGGATTGGAATTGGTTTTGTTTTTCGTTTTTTTGGTTTTCTTTGGTGGCCCCCCCCCCCCCCAAGGTCACTTTGCTTCAAAAACAAAGGCGATTGTTTCTGAGTAATTGGTCTTCACCTCTCATGTATCTGTACATAATGATTCAGTATTAGTGAGAAGTGCATTGTTTGTCATTTCCGATCTGTGTTGGTGCTCATTTGAGAAAATAAAGTTTTCAAATATTAACTCTTGGGGAATGAATCTGTTTTTACTGACACAATGTGTTTGTATCTTGACATTTAACACTTTGGGAGGCCTTCGCAAGGTCATCTGTCTAACCTTGGTCACAGACTTGTTAGCTGAGTCCACAAAAGGCATTTCCCTTTAGGACAGTAAGCCAGTTAGTGAGCAAATCTCAGGTCTCCTGTTATCTCCTTTCCCCTGGCTTCAGCTGTCAAGTGCAGAATGACCTTTATCCAGTTATCTATGCCATGACCCACCTTCTAAAAGCTCTTCCAATGTCTTACGTCTTTAGACATAAAATTGCATTAAGAAGGGGGTGAGCTAACAATGGGAGATAAATATCCACAGTCATAATCCACAGTGGAAAAAATGACCAGCCTGGTCTACAAGAGCTAGTTCCAGGACAGCCTCCAAAGCCACAGAGAAACCCTGTCTGTGTGTGTAAGTAAGTAAAATAAAAACCCTTGCTTGCTTTGCTTCCCACAATTTTTCAGCTATCTTTTCTGGGCCCAGCTGCAGTTGTCTTTTGTCATTGAGTGCATTATCTCCTTCCTGTGACCTGTTTTGCTTCAGTAGACTTCCTGTTATCATGTTATCATATAACTCTTGTTTGCCTTTTGTGGACAGAGATGAGAAAAAATATACACAGCCAATCCTAGGCCGGTCATTGTTCTAATCCCACTGCCTTTAGTGGTCAGGAGAGAGCATGGAATGCCCGGGTCTCTGTCTGACCTGTGACTCTTGGTGCTTTGCTTGCAGAACCTGGAGCAGTGTCCTTAAGCTAAGGCACTGCCTCACATAGGAGTTCTCACTGCCCTATGGGAAAGCAATAACAAATGCTGAGTGTTGTCCTTTCATTACAAGTGATGGGTCAGGAAGTAGCCCATCTGACTTCATGACTGGGGTTTTCCCCTATACTGTTACAAGCTGAGTTTTTGTTGGTTTTTTATTTTTAGATTTATTTTACTTTATGTGAATAAATATTTTGCTTGCATGCAAAACATTGGAACTGGGTTTAGGGATAGTTGTGAGCCACCATGTGGAAACTGGGAACTGAGCCTGGATCCTCTGCAAGAACAAGTGCTCTCAACCACAGCCATCTCTCTACCCCCTATTTTATTTATTTTTAGACAGGGTCTCACTATGTAAGCTTAGATGGTCTAGAACTCAGGTACTGGGACCAAAGGTACAGCTCAGGCTCCAAATTTTAGAGTCTGTCCCTCCAGCCTTAAGTTGGCTGTGGCTTCTCTGTGGCACAATCTAGTCTGTCCATCTGGGCTGCACTTTGCTCTTTACACCATTTAAAGATGAGGAAACCAAGACTCTTGAGACCATAAAATAAATCCCCAAGGCAAAGCTGGGATTTTGTGAGCCTGATGGCTAAACTTTGGCCCTGGGGATACTGGGGTGGGTGGATTTCACTGAGACCTGCCTGGACAACCACGTGAGACACTTTGAAAATACAAAAGAGCTTATGACCTTCGTAGTGGTGGCACATGTCTTTAATCCTAGCACATGGGAGACAGAGGCAGGTGGATTTTTTGAGTTCAGTCTGGTCTACAGAGCCAGTTTCAGGACAGCCAGGGCTATAAAGAGAGAGAGACCTTGTGTCAAACAACAAAAACATACAAATCAGCTTCTGAAAAGAACACTGTTTATAGCACCAGCCCACCATGACATTTCTGTATAGGATACTTTTTTTGACAGATACTAAACACACGAAGATGTCATGGTGGTTTTCTTTCTCCCTTCTTTATCTTCCCCCTTAATCTTTTACAAACACAAAAGAGTTTATCATTAAGAACAAACAACTGTTTACCATTATTTAAATCTCCAGGTCCAGGTGCTGGGATTACAGCTCAAGAAAAATGTAATGGCCACCAAGCAGCAGCCCCAGGGTTTGATCCCCAGTACTACAAACCATGCTGGAAATGACAAGTCCAAGCCATCCTCAGACAAGTTGAGTTTGAGGCCTGCCTGGGATGAATCTGAGTCTGTCAACAAAAAGGGCCAGCTTTTGGCCATCTAGTCTATCTGGATTGGCCAGAACCAGGTTCTGGCCTGTCCTGGTTCAGAGGGATCAGCAAGAAGGCATTCGCCTTTAAGCCTGAGGACCTGAGAGAAATCCCTGTATTTTGGCCACGGGAAGCACAGCTTTCAGGACTAAGAACTGAGAAAGTCTAGTACTTTTTTCAGGGCTGTTGGTTGTTTTGCTTTGGAGGGAGCGAAAGTGCTGCTTTCCATTAAGAATGATTAAATAATAAAATAACCCAACACTTGCCCATATGAACATGACGAAGATATCTCAAAACCTGGCAACTGTGGTACAAGTGACCCTGTTGTGAACAAGCCAAGGGGCTGACTTGGAGCATAACAGCCATGCCCATCAAAGCATCTGTGACAGCTTACAGGTGCCCTTGTGATTGGAATATTGGACTCCTTCCCAGAAGGCAGTGCGTAAGGTCATTAGACCCTCACCTGAGATCCCAGCCACACTTTCCTATACTTCTCTCCAGCTGTCTGTAATTCTGTTCACCCTACATGTGGTCTCACGGGCCAGGAAGGTGAGATAGTATGGAAGGTTAACTAAATGAATGACACCATCTGTGCAATGGTTAGGGGAGAGACTTTACAATGATGTGGCTATTTGGGGGTCACCCCACAGAACTATACTTACACTGTCACTCATTTTTCTGTAAGTAAGCCCAGCAAACTCACTGGTTCCCAAAGTTGAATCTTGGCAGAACGGTTGGTCTACTTTGGTCTATCTTTGGAACTGTATGTGTATATTGGGGGGGGGGGTAGGTAGATGTTCTTGTCCGTCCAGGAAAAATTCACTAAACAGCAGACATGGTGGTTCACCCCTGTAATCTAGCAGGGGGAAGGCAGAGGCAAGAGGACTGAATTTTCAAGAGCATCATGGGTTGTATGCTGAGTTGTTTCTTTTTGTTTGTTTGTTCTTGAGACTACTTTTTTAAATTAAATGTCATGTGTCAAATGAAGAGATTGCTAATTTCCAAGTGACATGAGAATCATTTTAATAGAACAGCCAGAATATTCTGAAGGCACTTAGCAAATTATTTGAAATCCATGACAGAACAATTAAGTGTTGGGGGGGGGGCACAGTTAAAATAGTGTTAATGACTTATCTCAAGTTCATGAACTCAGGGTAAAACTGGAGATAGTGGTGGCTGCCAGTAATCCCAGCCTCTTGAAAGTTGAGACAGGATCAGAGCAAAGGCTGTTCTGGGCTACATTAAAAGCAAAACAACAACAAAATCCAAAGCATACACACACACACACACTACCATCATCATCAGAGTCAAGTAAGAACATTGGCTCTTGAGTTCTGAGGAAGATATACAGCGAGACATCACCTAACATTCATCTCTGAGAAGTTACTGCGCTCGGGAACTGATTTCTGTCTGGGACTCAAGAGATTCCAGAAGCAACTCAAGTTATTAAGAAGTCAAATACAGCAGCATGGTGTAGTATCCAGCACAAATAGATTTTGGTGCATGTGCCCTTCGTGTGGCGCGACTACAACTCATTCTGATAGACACTGCTAGCAGGTAGGTACAGCATTCATTCCTCTAACCTAAGTTCTACAAGGAGGTAAGGCCACAGGTTACGTAATTCAGGAGTAGTAGCAGGAGATTCAGACCCTACCTGGATAGTCAGGCTTCTAATTTTAGAAGCCAGTGGGTACAAAAGGAGAGCTGGGGGTATAGCTCAGCAGTAGAATGCTCACCTAGCATAAGCAAGGCCCTGGATTCTGTCCCGAGCACAATT